TGGTATAGCATGTGTCAGTACTTCATTCTTGTTTAATGCCAAATAATATTCCATTGTGTGAATATATCATATTTATCCATTCAGCACTCCCTGCCTGACATTTGGGTTGTTACCATTTTTTTGGTGGTTGTGCAATAATGATGCTATGAGTATTTGTAGGCATGCATTTCATTTCTTTTGGATATGTGTATACCTAGGAATGGAGTTAATAGATTATATGGTTACTGTGTTTAGACTTTTTTGTGCAACTGCCAGCCTTTTTTTTTTTTTTTTTTACAAAGTGGCTGCACTGTTTTACATTCCCACAAGTAATGAGTGAGGCTCCTAATTTCTCCATATTTTCTTTAACACTTACTAGTATCTGTCTTTTTAATTATACCCATTTCCCATGGGTATGAAGTGATGTTTCATTTTGGTTTTGATTTGAATTTCCCTGATGGCTAATGATGTCGAGAATCTTTTCATGTGTTTTTGGACATTTGTATATATTCTTTGGAGAAATGTATGTTGAGAGCCTCTGTATTTTTATATAAGATTATTTGTCTTTTTACTGTTAAATTGTAGGAGTGCTTTAAATACTCTAGATACAAATCCTTTATCAGATATATGATTTGCAAAACTTTCTTCCCATTCTGTGTGTTATCTTTTCATTTTTTTTCATGCTATCCTTTGAATTACAAAGGTTTTTAATTTTCATTAAGTCCAATCTATTTTTTTCTTTTGTTGCTTGTGCTTTGGGTATCATATCAAAGAAATACTGCCTTTTTTTTTTTTTTTTTTTAAATCCATTCTAATTGTTAAGCTCTGAGACTGTCAGAATTAGACTGGTAATCATCTGCTAGCCTAGGTAATGCCTTTATCTGCACTCAGGCTAAATATAATGGAACAATGCTCATGGCACCCATGCTACTTAACTTCCATTTGTATATCTCAATTCATCTTGCCTTTTAAACATAACACAGAAAAATTGACACTTTGGCACCATACAGCTTTCTTTTAAGACATAAGTGGAATCTTACTATTTATAAATTCGTTTTTTAAGTAACTTTTATAATTGCAATAGATGCCGTATAGGTATGAGAGACCTCACGCTTTTATTCTTTATTAATATGTGCCTTTGTTAGGCCTGTTTTCCAGTTCTTCTCTGCCATCATTTTTGTAAATTTGGGCAAATCATTTCTATTTTCTGAGACTTTGTGGCTTTATCAATAAAGTAAAAATAATAATCTGTTGATCATGAGAAGTAAATGACTGTGTGTAGTAAAAACCAGTTGTCACTGAGTTGACACCAACTCATGTCAACTCTCTCTTTATATAGAACTGCATATATACATATATGCAGTTCAATTCAAATGCATCACTTCTTCTTTGAGCTTCCTTATTCTTTGTCCAGATTTCACATGCACATGAAGCAATTGAAAATACCATGGCTTGGGTCAGGTCCACCTTAGTCCTTGTTTTTGAATACTTTAAAGAGGTCTTTTGCAGCAGATTAGCCCAATGGAGTATGTCATCATTTGATTTCTTGACTGCTGCTTCCATGGGTATTGATTGTGGATCTAAATACATATATGTGTATATATACACACACATATATATATATATGTGTGTGTGTGTGTATATACATATGTAGTTCAACTCTGTCCTATAAGGTCGCTGAGTTGGAATTGACTCGATGGCATTGAGTTTGGGTTTGGTGTGTGTATATGCATGCTGTTGTTGTTTTTAGGTGCCGTCAAGTTGTTTCCAATTTGTGGAAATCCTATGCACAACAGAACAAAACACTGTCCACTCCCACACCATGCTCACGACTGGTGCTATATTTGAGCTCATTGTTGCAGCCACTCTGTCATTCCATCTTGTTGAGGGTTCCTCTTTTTTGCTGGCCCCTTACTTTACCAAGATGTCCTTCTCCAGGGACTGGTCCCTCCTGATGATATGTCTAAAGTATGTGAGTCATCCCACCATTCTCATATCTAAGGTGCATTTTGCCTGTACTTCTTCCAAGACAGATTTATTCATTCTTCTGGCAGTCCATGGTGTAGTCAGTATTCTTTGCCAACACCACAATTCAAATGCATCAGTTCTTCTTTGATCTTCTTTATTCATTGTCCAGATTTCACATGCACGTGAAACAATTGAAAATACCATGGCTTGGGTCAGGTGCACTTTAGTCCTTGTTTTTGAATACTTTAAAGAGGTCTTTTGCAGCAGATTTACCCAATGGAGTACATCATCATTTGATTTCTTGACTGCTGCTTCCATGGGTATTGATTGTGGATCTAAATGAAATCTTTGATAACTTCAATATTTTCCTAATTTATTATGATGCCATTTCTTGGTCATTCATATATACATATAGATATATTTATTTATATATATGTGTGTGTACATATATATGTGTGTGTGTATATATATATACACACACATACATATGCATATGTATATATGTCTGTTGTGTGTGTGTGTGTGTATGTATGTATATATATATCTATATATCTATATATATGCCAGAAACTCTCAGATTCTCAGAGGTAATGGACATGAGTTTTTAAATTTACTGGATTTGCTAAGTGCATAATAAAATGACTGAATAAAAACAACACCAATGCACGTACTTGTGAAATTTCACAAAGTCCAAAAGTAAACTTAGAATCTGTTCCAGAGAGAAAAGCAGGTCACATACAAAGCCTCAAGAATCACAGTGGCATTAAACTTCTGCACCAAAAGGTGTTTAACCAGTGCTTCTATATTCTGAGGAAGTTTCCAACCAGAATTAAATGTTCAACCAAATTATTAATGTAATATAAATATAGAATAATGGCATTTAAAGACACAAAATTAAAGAAAAATATTTTCTTCTGAGTCATCCTTTTTGCAAAAGCACCTGGAAAATGTGCTTCACCAAAATGAGGACATAAACTAAAAGGAAAACAAAACAAAACAAAAAAACAATTTCCAATATAGTAGAGGGACAAAGGAAATTTCCAGGTTAATAATGTGGAAAAGCACTGGGGAGGTGTGTCCAGCAAGCCTATATTGCAATCAGTCTGGATTGGGGCAGGAAGAGAGAGGGCCCCATGTAGGTAGCTTAAAAAAACAGAAAAAATTATAATTGATGAGTTATATGATGTTTGACCACATTGAGATGTTAGAGAATTAGGCAAATTAGTAATTGCTGAGACAGTTATTAATTTTATGAAAAACAATAATTACATAACATATAAAATGCATTTATACTAAAATATGTGAATCAGCTGTGAAATGTATTTACCAAGTCATAATAATCTAAGCACAGAATACTGATTTAACCCAAATTTGGGCGATAATATATTGAAAGAAGAGGGGAAGAGGTACATCTGTATAGAGATGAGTAAAAGTAAATAACACTGAAGTCTCATCTTGTAGAACAGTATGTTAGTAGAAGGATTAAGGAGTAGCAAAGCAGTAAAGCTAAAAACAATGAGTATCAATATAAATAATTTCCACTGTCTGCTTTTGGGAGTGTGGGATTCAAGGTGTGAGAGTGGGGATTATTGAATTCAGCTTTTAATTTTTAGGTTGGTAGCACAGTATTGCTTTTGAAACTTGATACAAGAATTCCTTAGATTAAAAATTAAAATGCAATTGAATCTTCCCCACCAGAAAAGAAAAATACAAAAAAAAAAAAAAAACCCTCAAACAAAACGAAAACAAAAAAACAACAACCGAGAATGTATGGAGACACAGAACATCTACCCTAGGGAGATGTACCCACCTACCCTAGGGAGATGCACCCCTTAGATCAGTCAACCATGAGATACTAGAGAGGTAGCATTTACATAGCAGGAAAGCTGGACAGACAGAATGCATAGATAAGAAGGCCACAGGGAGGGGGTAGTCACAGGGAGGAGAAGGGAGAAGAATTTTTTGTGGTTGAGGATTATAATCAGGGCCGTGAAATCAAGTGTGCATGAACTGTTGAATGTAAAACTCTGTTTTGTAAATTTGCACCCAAAGCACACTAAATAAATAAAAGGGAGAGAAAGAAATAAAAAGAGAAGCAGGAAGAAAAAAGGAACGTATGGAGACAATCATTCATACTGTTAAGTGCTACACAAATATTGAGTATTATATTATTTTGCAGAATCACTGTCATATTGACCTGACTCATGTCTCTGGTCATCCTTTTTAGCACCAGGCCATGGTTTTTACAGCCAGGTAAAATTCTTTCCTCTGTGATTTTCCCTTTAGATCTTGTGTATAATTAGGTGCTCAACCTGCCTTTCTGTCCTCTTTCCTTCTTTGTTTGGCCTCAGTTTCTTTCTGTAAAATGGGGGCAATAAACAAGATGATCTCTTAGGTTTCTCCTACTTACGTCACTGTTAAATCCAAAGCAAAGGACTATGTGCCAAGAAAAACAAGACCCAACTCCCTAATATCAAAGCAAGACAGATTGATATCTAACCTTCTAGAGTGAAGTGTTTCTTGAAGTAGTTTTGAATTAAGACTGAACAAAGAAGCCAAATCCATAATTTTTAAAAAAGAAGTTTTCCTTTGTTTGATTTTGAACCTGTGCTTATTATAATCCTATTACATAAATTATGAATTTGTAATTAGGTTGTATAGAGAAAATTTTAAGTTATATTCTTGTAACTGTTTTTGGTTTGTTTTGTGGTACCTTCCACATTTGTGTTTATCTGTATAAGACAGAGTTAATGGGGTTCTCATTGAATAACCAGAACTTATAGATAAATGTTGCTTTAACCTTGTAACCAAAATAACTTCAAAGGGTTTGGTCCGAGTATCTAGTTATCTAATGGCTGATTTAGCAATAATAAATTGTGAATAGTTCTAATTACTGTGCTTTAATTGGCTGTTAATACTGCCAACAAATTTGAGTAAGCCACAAAAGAATCAATTTAGTGCTAACATAAAGAGCCTACTTGAAACTGTCTTTCATAGTTTTGAAGTAAAAACCTAAACTGTATGAATGATTTAGTTTTATTCTCTCCACTCAGGGAGCTAACAGAATGAGAGGCCGGCTTGGAAGCATGGACAGCTTTGAACGGTCCAACAGTCTTGCTTCAGAGAAGGTATCTAATTAGAGCTCCCTTTTTTAGTACAAATTGGGAATTCAGCAAAAACCAGCACTTATATGGTAATAAGCATGCTTACTTACCTTTTTGTTTTAGTCCTTTATGGCTTTTTTAAAAAATAAATATTTGAGGCTTTGTTATTTAAGTAAATATTTTTGGAGATTGTGGCTATTAACATCTTGTTCCATTTTCAGCTGAAGCTTTCTCACACAGGGATAGAACATGTCCCTTCTAGGCTGCTGTATCCTGTGAGAATTTATCCTGTATAGAGATCTTGGAGGACAGTATTTTAGCAGTTCAAAGCCACATGAAAAGAAGCCAAGTGATGTACTTGTACATTGATCTGTTTTTTCTGTTGCTGTCTCTCCATATTAGTACCCGATTCCATTTTTTTTTTTAACCTTTTTAACTATAACATTAGACTCTTCATTATCTCATAGATAATATCCAGTAGGTTTGGTTTCCTGTTTCTTGTTCTGATAGAAACATCTAACCTAAGGCATATACAACCTATTTATTAAAAATTGGAAAAGATTAAAATATCTTTATTAAACTTTCTGTTAATGCAATTGAAGACTTAGTTAAGCTTTGATTCTAACCCATATTTATCAAGCTAAACATTTCTAAAATGCTGTTGGTTGTGGAAAGTATAAACAGCACACCTGTCTAAATGGAAAGATTTATTATGTCTACTCATGCAATATCAGATGCATTCCAGCATAGCTCACTTTTCATTCATTTCCTGTTTTTCATGTCTTTTTTAAAAAAATTACCTCAGGCAACATGTAGTTGGATAGGAACAACCACAGTAAAGGAAGATACTTACCAGGCTTTATTTTATCTTCCTGATGGTTTTGCCATGAGACTTGGACACTTAGGCAGTGTAATATCATTTTGATAGTACAGGAAACATGCAACTGATATGTCACGGAAATTAGTAGCTACATAAACACAGACTCCACCTTCTTTTGGTCATAATCTCTTTTCATTTCTGGCAACAGCAAGAGGTACAGTAGCAATAGCATTTACTATAAAGTGTCAGAGGGAAAGGATACCTTTTCTTATCACCCCTTTCTCTTTCTGGCCTATTTTTACGGATGCTGTCTTACAGCTGCTTATCAGAAGAAATGGGTTGTGGTGATACTGATTAGCCTTCAGCATGGATTGAGTAAAAAAAAAAAAAAAGTCGTGACTCAGGAGGAAGAAGAGGCCCCTGTCACTTTTGAGCTGTGTGTTTCAGCAGATCTGCCATGATCCTTGTAGGAAAGGAAAACCTCACTTCTGCTTGTTTTTTCAGGACTACTCCCCAGGAGACTCCCCACCAGGGACACCACCAGCCTCCCCACTGTCTTCTGCTTGGAACACATTCCCTGAAGAGGATTCTGACTCCCCACAGTTCCGAAGACGGGCACACACATTCAGCCACCCACCTTCAAGCACAAAGAGAAAACTGAATCTGCAAGACGGGAGGGCACATGGTGTCCGCTCCCCTCTTCTGAGGCAGAGTTCCAGCGAACAGTGCAGGTGAGTCTGAACCTCTCTCCAGAATATGAAATAAAGTTGTCCTGTCACTCTTTTTTGATCATCACGGAGTAAACATTTATCATGACTTTATGTTCTAGCCAACTTTAGTACTCAGAAAGACCATCATAAAAATCAATTATAAAAACTTCAGTTACTAGGAAAGAAGACAAGATTTAAGGCAGACCTAAAAAAAAGCATTGAAGTAGTTTTGATGGAATGTCCTTCTCTCCTTTCTTCAGAAAAAAGAAAAAAAAATTGTCATGCCAATTGTTTTATCTGAAAACCTGCTGACAACACTAGCTAGTCAGTGTCTTCTGGATGATGGCTGTAAAGAAACTAAGATGAGAATTCTAAAGTAACAGGACAGTAAAACTTCTTGTTACCCTAAATAATTAGCTTACAATATCAATGTTAAAAAATCACCTAAATCAACTTCATACGGAGGATGGTATTTGGCTGTATTTTATTACATAATAAATTAAAGCAAAATATGAAAATTGTTTAAAGATTTCTCTAGAACAAAGTGATACCAGTAAAGGAATATATGCATGTTGTAATTGACAGGAAGTGTCCAGTAGAAATTACCTTCCATGTTACATAAAAAATAATATAACAAAATTATTTGAGATTTAGTGAGATGTAGTTAAAGGTGTGGCAAACCTGGAATTGTAGCATAATTATATCCAATAACTGATTTTATTTTTCCTCCTCATCTATGAGTTTGATATAAGATACAGGATTCTGATAAGAATGTCAATTGGAGAAAAATATGGAACTCTAAGTAAAAAGAGAAGGATGATTTATTAAATGTTATCAAATGTCCCAGAATTTCCTTTAAGGATACAGTTTTATCTTCAGCTGTTTTCTGAATGATTTGATATGAAAAATAAAATATTTAGGATATATAAAAAGAAAATAAGTCAACAGAATTAAATATTCCTAAAGCTTCCTTTTGGGAAAGTGATAATTAAGTATTCATAATGATTTTTTTTGATCCCTACATTTATATTTTCAAAAGCCATAAAAACCAAGCTTACTTCCATCGAGTCGGATCCTACTCACACACCTACTCCTTGGGTTTCTGAAGCCGTATCACTAGGGAAGTAGATCACCCTATCTTCCTTCTGAGGAGTGGCTGGTGGGTTTGAACCACCAGCCTTCTGGTTAGCAATCAAATGCCTTAGGCACTATGCTACCAGAGCTCCCACATTTATATTTATATCAGGCAATAAATCTCATCTTTCCTAGGAAAAATATTTTCAGTAATTTAATACATCGCTTGTTTTAGACTATAAGTGATGTCCTTATTTTTCTCTTTTTTCTTCTCTACCAGATGCGTTTTATAATACATCAAGTCAAACAATTTCTATCAGTATATGAAGATATTGTTTGCATTATTGTAAAACTTGCTAGGAAAGGATTCTTCTTAAAAATAGATGTCTGGATAAAGCTATAGGCAGCACAATCCATCAGCTTTCAGCAAAGGACATGGACATTAATGTTAAACTTATGATATTATAATGATTTCCAATAACTAGATGTGTGGATCTTGAATTTTTCGGAAGGTTTATATCTTTAAAATAATTAAGTCTTTGAACTACTGATAATCAGGTTTTCCTTCTGGAACTTGTTTCCTGTAATTATTTGTGCTCCCCCCACCCTTTATTTTCCTTGAAGTGCCTTTTGCATGTAAAAACAAACAACTTTTTGTCATTAAATTGTTTTTAAAATTTTTAGAGACAAATACATCTGGTTAGACGTATTGCCTAGATAAGGAGTTCAATGTGTGAAAGAGTGACACTAGGCTATAATCATCTAGAGAAGTGCATGTTCCTTTTTTTTTTTTTTCCCCAAATAAGATCCAGCCCTGATCCTTTCAAAGAAAGATTAAATTAATAGCAAGAACCTGTCTATATGCTTTTTCATAGTGAATGAAGATTTTGCCGAACTGTAAATTAAGACAAATTTGCTGTATTTTCTGTACTCAGCCCTCTTCCATCAGTTCGTGGCATGCACAAGGAGAGTATTTCTTCCTCCAGTCTTCCAAGTCTTCACACTTCCTTCTCTGCCCCTTCCTTCTCTGCCCCCTCTTTCCTGAAAAGCTTTTACCAGAATTCAGGTAGACTGTCCCCACAGTATGAAAATGAAATCAGGTGAGATCAGTGTCCTGTTTTTGCAAAGCAAAAATTTTTTGCAATGATATACTGATATGTTACTAACAAGTGGCTGATTAATTTTGGAGTGACATTTATGCATCCTTATGTTGTACTTGTTCTAATCTGTTTCTAATATTGGTTTCAATTCTAATTAATTTTATTAAGAGAAGTTTTCAAACCAGTGCTTTCAAAACTTTTTGATAACATAGTTATCTTACTTTTTGATTTATGAGTGTTTTTCTTTTCCTCCTCTTTGTTTCTTTCCTTTGAATCTTGAAGTTTAAGCTTTGTTCTGTTTGAAACAAGACCTGGAGCTAACACACACTAAGCAAGCATTCCTTGATCATACTGTTTCCATTGACCTCCTTGGCTGTATCTCATGGAACCCAAAAGCCACTCATTTAAACAACTTCGCTGAAGTGAAGGATCCAATTATCTTTATTATTAAGTATAATGATCATTTCCTAAACATTTCTTTGCTATTTCTATGATGTCAGTATACTTTTCTGAATCTTAATGGAAGTCACACAATGATTACAGGATCATGTTGAAACCAACACTTTCAGATAGCATGAGGGATCTCTTTGAATCCTGTAGAAATTTTATTTTGCTTTGTTTTTATGCTCATTATTGATAATATAGACATATTAAATTGTATTTAATATATAGACTATTAAATAGTATTTAATCATATGTGCCATCTAGTCAGACCCGACTCACAGCAACTCCTCCTTGGGTTTCTGAGGCAGTATCACTACAGAAGTAGATTGCCCAACCTTCCTTCCGAGGGTGGCTGGTGGGTTTGAACCACCAGCCTTCTGGTTAGCAGACACCAGGAAAGATAATATTGGATTAATATAATTTTAAATATGAGCACTTCTCTCTGAATGAGTACAAAGTCATACTCAAATATTAAATTTTATTTTCAATGAAGTAAGTTGATGAAGAATTGACTATATAGGTTTTTTAGGGTTCTGATCAAAGCCACAATAGATGAACCATGATATAATTGGAGAAAAATGTGGAACAGAACTCAAATTCTTAAAAAGTCCAGACTTACTGGACCAATTGACTCCCTGTGACTATCACCTCAAGACACTCTTTAAATCTTGAATTGCAACTTTCCCCTGAGGTCACCTTTTATCAAAATTACATATTGGCACACAAAATAAAGGATATTTCCCATGAGTACAGTGCTCCATTTAAAAATAATGTATATGTAATCAAAAAGTCAACTATTACTCTACACCAAAAAATGAGAAAATAAGGGGGTATAGAAACTGGAGCACTGGAAATGGAATAACCAGAACACAATTAAAGAGAGTGTTGACACATTGTGGACAAAAAATATAACTAACGTCACTGAACAATTTGTATAGAAATTGTCAAATGAGAACCTATTTTGCCTTGTAAACTTTCAACATAAACACAGTAAAATATTTTAAAAATAGTTTTTTCAAGGACAGCTTTTATAGTAGGAAGTTAACCACAAAAATAGTATAATGCATATTGGGTGGTACAAACAGTTATGCACTTGACTACTAACTCAGAGGTTAGTGGTTCAGACCCATCCAGAAATGCCTTGGAAGAAAGGACTGGTTTTCTGCATCTGAAAGGTCACAGCCTTGAAAGCCCGAAGGAACACAGTTCAGTTCTACTCTGAAATGCATAGTGTCACTTTGAGTCAGAATTGACTCTATGACAACTGGACATTTTTGGGGGATGTTTATAGTATTACCTACAGTTCAGTTCTACTCTGAAATGCATAGTGTCACTTTGAGTCAGAATCAACTCTATGACAACTGGACATTTTGGGGGATGTTTATAGTATTACCTATCACCAAAAAGACAACACTTTAAATCAAAATCATTTGTAGTTTCTTCTTGCTATGTTATCATTAGTATCTGGAGAATCTAGATTCCTTCTTGAAACAGAATTATGCCTAAAGTGGCAAATAAAAGGTCAAAGGTTAGCTGTGAATAATATGTAGGTTATAAAAACTGTGACTTTTTTTTTTAAGTCTTTATAAAATTTAATATGAGATCATAACATTTGTCTTCAGTAGTTTTTGCTTAGTTGTATGCATTATTCTTGCTAATACCTTCCCATGGCCCTCTGTCTTAGGCTGTGTTCTCTAGAGAAGCAAAACCAGTGAAGCTTTATATGTAGAGAGAGAGAGAGACATAAATTTATCTCAGGGAAATGGCTCATGCAGTTGTAGAGGCTGGCAAGTTCTAAGTATGTGGATCAAATGTCAAGTTAGAGACTTCTGACTCATGCAGCTGTAGGGGCTGACAAACTCAAGATTGGCAGGCAGTATAGCAGGCTGCTGCAGAGGTGAATCCAAGATTGGCAGGTAGCATAGCTGACTTTTGGCTCATGGGCTGTGAAGGCAACAAACAATACCCAAATCAGTAGGCAACACATAGGCCACACACCTATATGTGTTTCTTTATTCTAATCCATTTATGAAAAGGTTGTTCACATCATGTCCCTTTACTCTTAATACTTTTAATATGTATTTCCCAAGAACGAGGATATTCAAGAGCATGGTTTTAATTCAGTGATTTCTGAACTCTACATCTCTGATTATCACTTGTTTCAGAGTGAACATCATATGCATGCAGTTACCACGTTCATAGTTATCCAGTGCTGCTATAAGAGAAACACCACAGGTGAATGATTGTAACAAACCAAAATTTATTCAGTCACAGTTTAGGAGGCTAGAAGTCAGAATTCAGAGCACCGACTCTAGGGGAAGGCTTTCTCTGTGTCTTTGGGTCCTAAGAGGATCCCAGGGCAGGGACCCTGTGTCCAAAGGAAAGGACAAGCTCTACTCTTCTTTCCTGGTAGTAGTAGGTCCCCCTTTCTTTGTTCCTTCTCCCTCCTGTAAGATAAAAGGTATCCAGGGAAACTCCATTTAAATCAGATCAGTCTTTGAAAGGATTAAGGGCAGCGCATCCCGCCCTAATCCTTTCACGACTCATTGGCTATTGCATCGGATCGCATCATGGGGGGATCATTACATAACTGCCAAGCCACTGATAATCATGGCCCAGCTAAGCTGACATATATTCTGGAGGGACACATTCCATCTATGATACCATGATATGTGGAACTATTCAGAATAATGAAAGGAGGAGGTTCATGATACTATAATTATAATTTTATTTTCAGTAGGTGCCTAATAATCATAGTAGTTGCATAGAATGGATCTTTAAATATGTATAGTCAAGTAAGGTATAGGGTAGATTAGGGCATAGCCTAGCAAATATTACTTTTTAAAAGTAGTTACTTTTTTAAATTTGAAATTTAAAATTCAGGTGAGGCATCCTTCTCCAGGGCCACTATCTGAATTATTAAAAACATGTTAGGTTACTGTTTCTGAGGAGCATGAAATAAAATAGCAAAGATCTTTTTTAATTCTGTGATTTGTTAATTAATGGGTTCATTTACGTTACACAGCATTGAAATGATAAGGGGGGTTACTAAACATATTTTTCAGTTTTACCTTATTTTAAAATAATTTTTTAAAATGTAGTATTTAGTGGCTACATCTATAGTTGTATATGATATAGTATAATTTAATGACATCCATTTATCAAATATACCTTCTTTTTTCTGTCAACAGGCATTTTGTTATTCCTCATATTTGTGTCTCAGGTTTTAAGCCTATATGTAAAAAATTATCTGTATGGAAGTTCTTTGGTCAAAAATAAATGATAGTTGTTACTTTTATTCACTTATAAAACTTTATAATGAGAAAATAAGACTTTGCTAATGAAGTACTTTGTAGCACAGTTTTGGTTCACTGATAAAAGTAATATAATTATTTATTATGTTTCATTATTCACATAACTTGAACTATGAATTATTGATGACTTATGAAAATGCCTTTTTATTCTAAATCCTGATTTTGACATGTAACTCTCTGTGTGTGCTAATGCCATCCTTTGTTTCCTGTTGTACTAGACAGGACACTGCCTCAGAATCAAGGTGATTATAGGTCTAATTAATTTAACTAAACAGTTCACAAAGTCTTCCAACTGAATTTTTCGATTAGTTTAAAAAGCATTTTTCGTTGTCTCCTGATTGCATGCCATCATTGCAGATGCTGTGAGTGTTATATAGTAGGGAAAATGTGACCTGGTGTAATTAAAGATCAGGAATGACCATTGCAAACAAAAATCCTGTTTCTACTCTATTCCGTGTTGATATTTGCTTAGAACTGTGCTGTGACCACCAATCAAAGCCTGATGCTCATTTTGAATTAATGGAAGTGAATTTTTGTTATTTTGGAGGTAGGTATGAGGACATTTTTCCAAATTCCAAGAAGATACAGAAATGAGTGCTTGGCCACCATTACTGAACATTTTGATAAAACATTATATAACAGAATCCTGATCAAAAGGGGAAAAATGCAGAACAGAATTTCAAATTTTCATTGACTCCAGACTTCCTGGAGCCTTGAAACTATTGCCATAAGATAATCTTTAAACCTTAAACTAGAATATCCTCTGATGTCTTCTTAAAATTAAGTAACGTTGTTGTTGTTGTTATGTACCATCGAGTCGGACCCAACTCATAGTGACCCCTCCTTGGGTTTCCGAGGCAGTATCACTACGGAAGTAGATTGCCCCATCTTCCTTCCAGTTTGTTGTAGCTAATAAAAAATGTCTGCCTTGAGCAATACGCTCTTTTAAGAACCATCTTTTTGGGATCAAAGTGACAAGATTAGATAGAAACCTTAGGAGACAATGAGTTTATGTTTATAGGGAAGAAATAACTTAAAAGAGGAGAATGGTTGTACAACGCAAAGAATGTAATCAGTGTCGCTAAATAGTCCATGTTGAAACTTGAGTGAATTAGTGTATGTTTTACTGTATATATTCTCAACAATAATGACAAAATGAATAGAATTTGTTAGAATCATTTACAACCAGATCAATGCAATAAAACACTTATCCTTAAGAAAAAGAAGTTCACCCTAAAAGAAAGATATGTCTTAAAATCAAATCTGATTCTTATCTGAAGAGGATTATTAATAATTTCTATTCATTTAAATTTTTGTCACTTTGGCCACTTTGAGACGCTAAGATAAGGCCTTTTGACCACTGCCTGGATGCAGGAAAGCACCTAGTTTCTTACTGTGGAAGTCTGGCCACATCTGTGATGACATCTCTTTCCCTTGACCCATGTGCTTTTTGTGGTCAGCGTCCACAATTACTGCTGAATAAGTTACCAGCAAGTGGTTATTTTCTGCTTTGCTACAGTTTCCACATTTGGTCAGATGAGCTTAATGGAAAACAGTCCTATCCATCCTGCTAGTTAGGCCACTAATAATTTAGATTTCTTTCTAGCTGGAGTGAAAACAGAGCATGAAAGTTAGAACTAGAATGAGGTATTCCAGGAGAAAAAAGTTCTCAGAAAATTATTTTGGCCACATTGATAAGATTTTTAAAGTGACTTTTTTGAGACTTGTAATTGAGCTACACTTTCTTTTTTTTTTTTTCTTTCTGATTAGGTGTAAGATCATTTTCTTTTTTTAAAAAAACCAACTTCTCAACTATTTTAAAGAACCCAATGGAAATGCTATTTTTGCCTTTTGCCCTTTCAAATTCTTCTGCAGGCATAGCGTGAGGTCTGTTTGTTTCCTTGTTGGAGATCATCTGGTTTATAATTTCCTGATTTTATGTATGGTTAGATTGAACCCAGAGAGGTTTAGTATCTTGTTTGATGTCATTTTCTGTATTGTAAGTTATAAGAATCAAAGTAAGAAAATGATCTACGCAGAGATATTTTTAAATCTGATATGTAGAACTTAAGTTTTTTGAAAAGAAATCTACATTCAGTGTAGAGTTTAGGGAGGGGAAAATAAAAACCTCTTTGTTCTTCTCATTCTTTTGTTTTTCAATATTGTTCCACTGACTAATCTACTATTGACTCATAGCTCAGATAGTATGTATCATTTCCACTAGAAAAGTTCAATTTAGATTTTATTTTCTAATTAGAAAATATTTTGGTAGGAGGACAGATGTGTATGTACTCAGTTAAGAACCAGAACTTCCATAAATGATTAATGTACCTGGTATAATTATGAGCTAAATTGTACTGTAGATCCTATAGGAGTAAGTCAAAGTTTCATTATGATGTTGTTTTGTGTAGCTTTTCTTGAGACATTTACAAAGAACAATCTTTTTCAGCCTTTTCTTAGGTAGATGGGATCTCTGGTGGCATAGTGCCTGTGGCATTTGACTGCTAACGAGAAGGCTGGGCGTTCAAACCCACCAGCCACTCCTAGGAGGGAAGGTTGGGCAATCTATTTCCATAGTGATACTGCCTTGGAAACCCAAGCAGGGGCCACTATGAGTTGAATCCGGCTCAACAGCAGTGAGTTTGGGTTATTAAGGAGATGTTATCATATTCATCAAGTCTTGTGATTTATCTTGAGCTGTAATCCATTATGATTAGTTGTAGATTTAGCCAAATTGTGTAATCATTTATTTGGACCATAGAGTAGTTTTGAGATGGGTGCTAGGGAGCTGAGGAAAGGTGGCTATTTAGCAGGATAACACCTTTTTAAACTAATCCTGGCAGAGAGTTTACATTTGTGAAAAGAGTGTCTATGATGTCCTGAAGGAAAATAAGACCACATCATTTTCAAAGTTGAGTTTCTGTAAATGGTTGCTAATACACCTCCATTCTGTATAATTTCCAATGAATTCTTATTAAAGTAGACAAGAATGCATTCAAATTCTGTGTCAACATAAATGTAATGTTAATTTAATAGTTGATATGGTGAAAAGCTATTTTGAAGCTTTAGGGGATTCATATCATATCCTCAGCTTTTAATCGAGGCAGTCTTTGAAAAGACTTGCAGAAAAAAAAAACTCCCAGCCTACATGGTGGCAAACACAACATGGGCTGTTTCCTTCCCTTATAAAGTCCTCACAAATTCAGTTCTTGATTAATTGGTGGCTGGTAACAGAAAGTATATATAGAGAGAATACTTAAAGAAAACAGAAAGCTACCTTCCGTTCCATTCCAACTCATGGCAACCCTATGTCGATTAGAACAGAACTGTGCTCCATAGAACTGTCAATAACTGACTTTTCCAGAATGAGGCATCTCTATGTGGATGTGAACCTCCAACCTTTTGGTTAACAGTCGAGTATGTTAACCATTTGTATCTCCAACCAAAACCAAACTCAATGCCATCGAGTCAATTACGACTCATAGCAACCCCTCTTTGGGTTTCTGAGGTGGTGGTGTCTCTACAGAAGTAGATTGCCCAGTCTTCCTTCTGAGGAGTGGCTGGTGAGTTCGAACCACCAGCTTTCTGGTTAGCAGTCAAATGCCTTAGGCACTGCGCCACCAGAGCTCCCTTTGTACCACCAGGGACTCCAATATATATAATATATAAACACATAAATGGATGGGAGGTCTCCAAGCTGTACGCCTTCCTAGTCATCCATTTTGAATTTCATAAATTTCTGATAGAGGTAATGCTGGCACAGAATACTTTTCCTGAATATGTCTCTTGGGGGAAAAATTATAATGTACATATTTCAAACAAGGTAGATAAGAAGGTGGAGAAAGATTATATGAAAATAGAATGGAATGGTTATAACTGCTTTTATCATTTAAAAATGTAGAGGTGATCAATATGCTAATGTATGTATTCCAGCATATTAATGTGTTTTTGATTTGGTCCTTTTATTTAAAAATAAAACAATATGTATGTTTTGTAATGCAATTTTTTCAAAAGCAAAGAAAAAGAAATGAGGCATTTACATAAATACAGCACCTCATAATACTGTGAAATTATTTCCCTACTGAAATAAATGAAATTTTCCATTGAAAAATGGAAAGAGAAGTACTGACCAGAATAATTAATGCTAATTAGAGATTAATTTTCCACCAGAAATACAAAGGATGCCAGGATTCATGACTATAGGTCCACAGAAACATGAGCTTTGCTTTTGTGGTCCTATACACACACTTCAGTTCAACTAATGCACAGAGTATTTATTTACATTGACATTTTAACCTGTGGTGTATATGGGTTTGGATGCTTGGATTTGAATTCTGGTCCCTCTGTTATCTGTGTGGCCATGGGCAAGTTACTTAACTTCTTTGTACCTCAGTTTTTTCACTACAAATGGGAAGCTATATAGAAACCTTAATATTTTTTAACCTCACCTGTCCAATCTTATTTTGTCACAACATTATTCCTTAAGAAATCAGCTAACAATAATCCCAAGGTCAACTGTTCTACCTTTATTCAGATTACTTTTTCCAGTGGTCCAGCTATTTTGACAGCTAACAGTTTGGAGACGGATCTTCACAGTCCCAAGCAGTGAGCAGCTGTCTTTATCTGCCTATTGTATAAGAGCTATAAGAAGCACTTGTTTGTGAGCCTTTTCTGGAATGTTCACATTGGTTAGAATAAACTAGTAATTTTAGTTCTTTAGAAGAGTACAAGTCTATTGCTTAAGCAGTCGTTACTCCTTCTACCAGTACTTATATTCCTCAGGTTAGGACTTGGAATGCTTGGCTACTATGGAATAAGTAGAAACAGCTGAGCTTCTCTGGGCTAGGCTGCAGCCTGGATTGTGTTTTCCCAGGCTGTGGTCACCCTGGCAAGGGGAGGCACCTGGTGATGCACTGCTCCATGCTGCCTGTGGCTCATGCTTGCCTATGGCAGAACTTGTGAATGGCTTGTGCTTCCATTTCATTGCAAAGCATCACGCTGTGCAGTTCTCCTTACAAGTTATGTTTTTATTATTATTTACTACAGCGATGGAGAGGGGAGAAAAAGGACCTCGTCAACCTGCAGCAATGAGTCCCTAAGTGCTGGAGGAACCCCTGTCACTCCTCGCCGAATTTCTTGGCGGCAGCGCATTTTCCTCAGGGTTGCTTCTCCCATGAACAGATCTCCCTCAGCAATGCAGCAGCAAGGTCTGTGTGGTACTCACTAAAGAATTATTTTCTAAAAGTATCATAAGTTAGGGAGTAGAATACAAATGCTTAATGTCTAAAAATGTTTAAGTGATTGCAGTAGAGATAAAACTTCATCTTCTATATGTATAATAAGTGTATAAGTTCTCAGGTATCATTAAAACACAAAAGACATTTGGTAAAAGTTTGTTGAATGAATGAAGAAGCCTGTTTTGATGCCTACTCCATAGTGTATAGGGAACTATGATAGGGAAGAAGTAGGATATCTTTTTAACAGTAGAATAGCAGTATACTCTTCTACAAGAGTCACACATAAAACAAAGTGACAAAAAAATGTTGAACAATAAAGAAATGAATAAGGATATACTAGGCAAATCTAAGGCAAAAGAGACAAGGCTCCTTTTGCATATTAGATCTATAAGAAATTAAAGTGAAAGCATCAAAATAGGCAAAGTAAGTATTACAATAAACATAAAGATAAAATGTTCATGAGATCATGTAATTTTTATTTATTTATTTATTTATAATGTTATATTTTCTGTATGTCCTTTATTTATTTATTTTTATTTGGGTGAAGATTTACAGAGCAAATTCACTTTCCATACAGCAGTTCACATATACTTTGTCTCA